TTAAAAAGACTCAAGGAAAAATCTATTCACATGTTTCATTTATGAAGTAAAAGAAATACAAAAAAAGAATAAATGTCAAAGTCCAATTAGGACTTTGAGAGTCCATGATGTGAGAAGAAAAAAAGAGGCTGCGCCTCTATAAAGGAAAAAAAAGAGAGAGAGAGGGAGGCCGGCTTCTGGAACGGAAAAAAGAACAGCAACAGAGCAACGAACGCAGCAGGGCAGCTCTCGGCCAGAGTTCTTCTTCCAACGCCAATTCTGGGTTCTACCTCTCAATTATGATTTCTTGTTCTAGAATTATGATTGGCTAGACTCTTAATTTCCAATTCCAAGTTAATACTCTATGATTTGATTTGTGAGATTTTATGCTTAATGTTTTATTTGTCATGATATTCTATTTTTTTTATGAGATACTTTTTAATGAATTCATTAGTTTGATTAATTTGGATGCATACTTTTTAATTAATCTTGTGAGTTTATTGCTAATTGAATTCTTGGTTGTTTGATTGAGATTTCATTCTAGTAGCAATCATGTTTTTTAAGGAAAATATGTTAGAATAAGTGCCCTTCACTATAGGGGGTGAATAGTGAGGCACGAGAATGTTTATAAATTTTCGTGGAATAAAAATCATAGGGATAATGTAAAGAGCGGAATAAAAAAGCGTAAAGGGAGCACACCAAAATTTATACTGGTTCACCACAACTTGTGGCTAGTCCAGTCTCCCGAGAGACTCTCTTGAGCTACACTACTTCCGTTAAGCTTACGGGTGCTTAACAAACCGTTACAACCTGAGAACTCGAGTCCCACGAGCCTCAATACACTTGCTCGGAGATACCGCACTTCAAGACTTCAACCCGAAGGAAAATATCTTTCCTTCGTACAACCAAGGGAAACAAGCTTCCCTAAACGTGTTTACAACACTGAAAACACTCAAGAACAAATACTCTCGTTTAGAGTGGATATTGAGTAAAATATATACGCTCAAGAGCAACTCAAACTTCACATAATTTGGCTCTAGAAAGCTATGAGAAAGATGTTATATGAATGCAATGATAATGTGTGTAATGTGAAGTGAATGGATTATGTAATGCAGACCCAAACACCCCTTTTTATAGTGCCAAAATAGGCTCCAACGGATCAAGGCATTAAAGGGGTGATTGACATGATTTGTGGGATTGATATTAAAATATGGATCTGCATGAGATTGGCTTTCCCAGCGATGTATGGAGCTACCCATCGCTGGTAAGCCAATTTTCCTTCAGTTTTGAAGGCAACGGTCACCTACCCATCGATGGGTAAACACTTCTCATCGCTGGGTGGGAGGTTGACTTTCAAACAAGGAAAGAATCAGCCTTAAATGCCTTACAACGGTCATGCCTTCCCATGCATGGGTAATATCCTCCCATCGCTGGGAAGTCACTTACCCATGGATGGGTAATATCTCCCATCGCTGGGTGGCATGGTTCTGGAATCTGGGATCACTTACCTATGGATGGGTAATATCTCCCATCGCTGGGTGGCATGGTTCTGGAATCCCGGGATCACTTACCCATGGCTGGGTGATATCTACCATCGCTAGGTAGATGGCTAGTCCAAAACCATGGCCTAGCCGACCGGTACTGAAACCCGACCGAAAAATGCAAAGTTCTCCAAAGTAAAAACTAAGTATTTAAAAAACTTATTTAATGTATTTGGCTAAGAAATCAAGTGAGACACTTTAAAAACCACGTCATTTAAGTAAAAACCACGGCTAGCCAAGTTTATGCTGTTTCGCATGGTTTTTGCCAAACGATCAAAAATGAAAGGTGGGTTTTAAAGTGTTTTTGTTGGAAAACCATTTAAATGTGCCCATAAGTAAAACCCAATCATAAAATCTTGAAAACCACTTGGTTGGTTCGGACGCTAAAAACCAACGCCGATAACCGAATGCCGAACGCCGGTTTCTGAAAGCCGAATGCCGGTTTCTGAAAGCCGAACGCCGGATGACTTGGTTTTTGCTTTGGGCGAACACCAATTGTTTTTAATGTGTTAAACATGTTTGAAAAACATTTTGATGATATGTGAAATGCAATAAAAGCGTTTTAGCCTAAAGAGCCAAGGTGTGAAGCTTGGGTCGGTATTCATCACATTTGTGACCGACTCAACGATACTAAAACTACGGTCTTCGTTCTTGGTCTCTTTTATCTCTTGTTCTTTTTTCTTTCTTCTCTTCTTTGTTTCTCACCTTTTGTGTTTCAACTATTTGTCTCGTTCACGGCGGTTTGCCATTATCAAAACCTGTCATGAAAATGAACACGGCTTTAGTACGATAAAGTAATAAACCCGTGTTTCAACAAAATATAGATGCAAATTGAATATTTGTCCGTTTGGAAGAATGTTGTTTGGGTTGGCTAAGAATTTACTTAACTTTATGCAATTGAACCTTGAATCCAAGGCGTTCGTTATAGGGTTGGGTTGTCTTTTACTCTCGATTAGGCTTAATTGGTGGTGTTTGTCACTTTTAAGTATTTTAGGTGAATTAGGGATTATTGTGTGTTTGCAAATAATCTACACCAACTATCTTGATAAATAAATATCTTTTGTGTCAATGATCAAATCGAATTCATGAGTTAATACTTGGGATTGGACACTTTTAATCAAATTCTTTTAAATCTCTATTAGTTGCTCGGTTTACTTTTAGAATTTATTCTCTAGTTTTTTTAAAAAAATTATCTAGCTTTAAATCAATTTCAAATCATTTTATATGAAAAACGGTGTAGAATTAAAAATAAAGTTTATTAGTTGAAATTTTACATCAAAAGATCTTCAAAACTAGTGGTGGAATGACTATATTATTTTATCAAATAACTAGCAAAAATAAGAAAAGAAAGTCAATGAAGTTTGACCTCGTAAAAAATAAACAACCAATTTAATTTGAGACGAATAGAGTATAGAGTAAAATAGGACGTGTCCCCTGGTCCCAAAAGTCATCAAACTCCAAGAAAAGATCCTTTCATAATGAATAACGTGGGGATCACTTTAAGTTCTTTAATTTGGGCAATTAATATTACCCAATATATCCATGCAACATGGTTAAACAGATGATCCATGTCCGAGTCATTTGAAGCAATGCACAACTAGCTATAGACAGTGAAATTCATCAGCTTAATTAACACAATGTAAATTCCCATTTTGAAGATTAAAACATGAAGTTTTTAATTTGATATTTTTTCTATTTTTACGCTTATTTAGGGTGAATTATTTAAAAAAGACTTATAATAGCAAAGAGTCAATGTTTTATGTTAAAAAAATACAAACATGTGAAATTTTAGAGATTGAAATGCCACCATCTGTTGTGTGAACTACCTATAAAAATTGAGATGATAGATCTGTTTGTCTAAGTGCTAACCGGGTAAGACTAGTTACTACTTGAATAGAAAATATTAGAGATCTCACATCAAAAAAAAGAAAAATAAACTAATATATATAAAAGAGTACAGTGAAACTTTACATATCAGTTTAAGCTCACCGAAGAATTTAAATATATTTCCCCGCTAAGACTTCACAAACAAGAGACAAGACCTAAATAATAGGGACTATTTTCCACTCAAAAATTGCTTGAAGTAAAATTCTCTAAAGTGCACCTAAGGTGCTCCGTGCAATCAATGAAGATGTTGTAAACATTTTCTTAATTAAAATTATGATGAAAATTTATTTCTCTTTTTAATTTTTTATTTTTTCAAAAACAATTAAAATCATTTGAAAATTCACAAATAAAAAAATTGTCCATCTTATTTATGTGCACAAGCTTCCTAAAAATACACCGTAATGCATGTTCTTAAAGATATTACAGCGGGAATAAAAATAATAATAATTCGAACTTATAAAACGTTCAGATTTTACAATGAAATAAAATAAAGAAATTGAAGTCTTCGGGAAGCTCAAACGGATTGAAACGGAAGCAGGAACACGAACGGACAGGTGCCTTGATCGGTGAGTAGAGACGACGGACGGAGGGTAAGGTGTCACCGAAGCAGTTTCTCGAACAGAGGTAAGAAAAGCGGAGTCTCCAGAGCTTTCCTTAAAGTAGTATTGCCCGCCTCCCGCACTGGCAATCGTGGGCAATCTCCTCCCAGGATAAAACCGCTACGTGCAAGGCCTAGGGCAGTAGAACCGTGCACCGACACACGAGAACGACGGGATGTTACTGGCGGAGAAGACGATCGGAAACCGGAGGATAGTCGGAAAGCTATTCGTATTACAGAGAGGGGTTTTCCAGTGTCTTTCTCTGCTGCAATGTGCTCCCTTTATATAGGGGCGAGCATGGACGAACGGACAGTCATGGAGGAGAAACCGAGGAGCCACGGGGAGACCCTTCAGTCGGTGTGCATGCATGTTATTCATTGCTCCATCACTTCGTTATTAACGAAGTGCTTACATGTGTTCACTTCGTTATTAATGATGGCTCTGGGAGCGTTTAAGCAAGCGTAGGCTCGAAAGCCTACGCGCGCTAGTGCGCTCTCCGTTTTCTCGCTTGCTTCTTCTCCAGAGTTTTCTTGGTCATCAATACGACCTGTTCTTAATAGAACCGATTTTATTCTCTGAACAATCGGAATTTCGTACTTCTGTCGGATCCTCCCTATCTCCTGATCGAGCCCACGCGCGGCGTGCCCTGCCCCGTAACGCCCCGCCGCGACGCGCGTGCGCGTGTCGTGACGTGCCGTGCCGAGCCAAGCCAAACGAACGGCGGCGGCAGTGGTGCGCGATGAAGTCTCTTCTTGTTCCTTTCATAAGCTCAATTAAATGCTTAAGTTTAAATATGGGAATACGAAAGATTCAAGATCTGGTGTGGGACAAGGGTTTTTACTCTTTCACGTGTTTGACTTTGTGAATTAATATCTCATTCACCCGAGCACCATTTTTGGCGTGTAATATGTCGAAACACTTATCTCACTTACGAGATTAAACATCCATAATTATTTTGGAAAATAATTTTGTGGACCCTACCGAATTTATGTCTGAAAATGTCCAATTTTTCTTAAAAATTCCAACAATCCCCCACACTGGAAGGCCATAGTCCGAGTGATGAGATACCTTCGGTATATGACTACTAATGCGCAAGCTAAATCTGGACATTTTTAGACATATACAGAATTTAGCTGCACACGGACATTTACAGAATTTATCGGTGTTTACCTAGGTGTCATCACTGCATTTTCAGAAAATGTTCACCTAGCTGTTTAATACCAAGGTGTTTTAAACACATTTTCAGACATATACAAAATGTTCTACTAATAGGGAGTATTCTATCTGAGAATCGCTACTCCCCACACTGCAGCTAATTTATGTAATATGTCGGACTATGACTACTAATGGTGCAAGCTAAATCTGGCCGTGTGTAGCCCATCAGATACATCAGACTTCTGATAACTCTAGAGTATTCTATCTGAGAATCGCTACTTCTTAGGTGTTTACCAAGGTAAACATTTACATCTATCAGCGTCTTAGCTATCTTTGTATCATCCTTGTTGAATTTTTCAAGGATTTTGTCAATGTAGTAGGATTTGCTCAAGCTCAGACCATCTGGTCTTCTTATTATTTTAATTCCAAGAATCACATCAGCCAGACCCAAATCTTTCATATCGAATCGTGCGTTCAACATGTCCTTGGTGGAATTAACCATCCTGTCGTTGCTTCCAACGATGAGTATGTCGTCTACATACAGACATAGAATGACATACCCTTCAGATGTGTCCTTAAAGTATACGCACTTATCCGACTCATTTATCTTAAAACCGTTGTTCATCATTACCTGGTCAAACTTATCATGCCATTGTTTTGGCGCTTGTTTAAGACCGTATAATGATTTCACAAGTGTGCAGACCTTCTTTTCTTGGCCCGGAACCTTAAACCCCTCGGGTTGTTCCATATAGATTTCTTCATCTAGTTCTCCATTTAGAAAAGCTGTCTTTACATCCATTTGGTAAACATCCAGGTTTCGTAAGGATGCAAATGCGATGATCATTCTGATAGAATCTATCCTAGTCACGGGCGCGTAAGTATCAAAGTAGTCATAGCCCTCACGTTGGCTATACCCCTTGATCACAAGTCTAGCTTTGTACTTGTCAATGGAGCCGTCAGGCTTCATTTTCCTCCGAAAGACCCATTTAGAACCCAATGGCTTACACCTTGGAGGGAGATCAACCAATTCCCATGTGTGATTCTGAAGAATAGAATCAACTTCACTTTTTATGGCTTCTCGCCACTAAGGTCCTTTAGTTGAGGTTACGGCCTCATGATAGGTTCGTGGTTCTTTTTCTACTAGACAGGTTAGAATATCGGGTTCATTCTCCATTAAAAATGACAAAGTTCCTTTGTCAAATACTATCAGATATGTTATGAAGTCAGAACCGAATGTCTTTTCAGTTCGTATTCTTTTACTTCGTCTCAATTCAGTTTCATGATCAACTTCATCATCGTCACCGGAATTCAACTGATTTGGATCATCGTTATCCATCATCTCAGTATGAGAATGTTTGGACGAACTAGCTTCGTCACTTGACTTGCACGTAAAAAAGTGCTCGAAAAACATTGCATTACGTGACTCTATGATTGTGTTCTTGTGAATTTCAAGATTATCTTATTTGTTCACCAAGAACCAGTATGACGTACTATTGTACCCAATGAAGATTCCATCAACTGTCTTTGGACCGATCTTCATCTTCTTTGGTGGTGGTGCAAGTACTTTTGCGAGACACCCCCACACTTTGAGATATTTATAAGAAGGTTGCCTATTATGCCAAAGTTCATACGGAGTTTTGTCAAGTTTCTTACGAGAAATTTTATTTGATAAATAATTACTTGATAAAACAGCCTCCCCCCACATGTTCTGGGGTAATCCAGAACTAAGTAGCATCGCATTCATCATGTCTTTCAGAGTGCGATTTTTCCGCTCTGCTACGCCGTTTGACTGCGGTGTCTTGATGCATTATTCCATATTGTGCACAAAACTCATTAAGTGGAGCATCATACTCACCACCTCTATCACTTCTCAATGCTTTTATTTTGCGATTGAGTTGATTTACCACTTCATTCTTATATCGAATAAAAGTGTCTAACGCTTCATCTTTACTTTTCAGTAAATAGATATAGCAATATTTTGTGCTATCATCAACGAAGCTAATAAAGTACTTATTTCCCCCCTCTTGAAGGCGTTGTTCGAAAATCACACAAGTCGGTGTGAACCAACTCTAGAGGTTGAGTATTTCGTTCGATCGTTTGAAACGAACTTCGAGTTGACTTTGCCTCAATACAAGTTTCGCACTTATGAGTTAAGTAAAATACTAAACCTTGGAATGTGTTCCATGTTAATTAATTTCCGGAGAGATGCATAATTGACATGTCCTAGTCTACCATGCCATAAACTAGAAGACTCACACACATAAGCAACATGATTTTTATTGATCTTTTCATGAACAGTCATTACATTTAGCTTTACAAGCCCATCGGAAATATAACCTTTTCCTATAAAAATCCCTTTCTTGGACAAGATAAGCTTATCTGATTCTAACACCATCCGAAAGACGTGTTTGATTAGCAATGACCCGACACTAAATTCTTACAAATGTCCGTCACATAGAGTACGTCATTAAGCATTAGCTCTTTGCCGGAGGTCATTTTAAGCTTAATCTTACCAACCCCTTGAACCTCTAATTGGGCCGAGTTGCCCATCCAGACCTTGTCACTGGAGGTCTCTTGGAATTCGTGAAACATGCTCCGATTGGAGCAAATATGGCGTGTGGCTCCTGTGTCCCCAAACCATTCCCTCGGGTTTGACCCGACAAGATTCACCTTAGTGACAACTGCGTAGAGGTCCAAGTTGTTGAGCTCTGTGCACATAGCTTCGGTGGTCTTCTTCTTGTTCTTTTGAGGCTTCTTTTTCTTACAATCGGAGGAACGATGCCCGGTAATGCCACAATTGTAGCACTTCCTTGCAAATTTAGAAACGCCACCTTTAGGACATATTTTCTTTTTGTCCTTTCTACCATGTGAAGAGCCCGAAGGATGATCTACCACATTCACCTTTGCCCTTCCACCTCTTCTGGCAAGCTCTTCCTCTCGGATTCTCAACCGCGTGAGCAGTTGCTCCAGGTTCAGCTCAGTTCTCTTGAGCTTGAGATCACCTTGGAAGTCTTCCTAAGAGCGTGGAAGTTTGTGAATGATGGCCGCCACTTGAAAGGCCTTGCTGATGCCTACTTTCTCTTCATTGAATTTATTGAAGATTACCGTAAGCTCCTCAGCCTGGGCGACAACAGATTTGCTGTCAACCATCTTGTAGTCCATCATCTTCCCGATGCTGAACTTCTTTGTGCCGGCATCTTCAGCTTGATACTTCTTGTTCAAGCTACTCTTAAGCTCCTTGGCAAGCTTTGCACCGGCAAAGACGGGGTACAACGTCTCGGCCAACCCTTCGAGGATGTAGTTGATGCTGATATAGTTATTATGGTACCATGCTTGGTTCACCATCGCCACGAGGGGGTCGTTGTCGTCGTTTGGCTGGGGAGGATCTTGTTGTAGGTACTCAGAGAATCCTAGGACGGTCAAAAAGAACGTCATCTTTTGTTGCCACATTTTGAAGTTCGTGCCATTGAACTTCGGTGGCCTTTGGACCGTACTAGCGGGCACTGAAATTGGCCCAACTGCATTGGGCGTATGGAGGAAAGGTCCATTGGAGGCCTAGTGAGGTCCAACGAATGGATTGACCGGTGCGTTGAAAGCTGCGTTCGGTCCGAAGTTGACTGTTGCGGCCGAAGCCATAGTCGGTTCGAGGAACGGGTTCGTATTGCCAACAGGGTAACCCCCCGTTGTCTCGAGCCTGGAATGGGTTGAGGAGCCGACCCGAAGATCGAGCTCGGCATCGAGAAGGAGATCATGGTGGCGGCCCCCACACTTGACCCGAAGGGCAGCGGTGAGGAGGGCACAACCATGGCAACCGAAGAGGTTTCTACCGGAGCTTCGGAACTCATTCCATTGCCGGAAGAACCCACGATGCCAAATCCAAAGTCCATGAAGATACAACCTTAAGATTGTTAAAGATATTACAGCGGGAATAAAAATAAAAATAATAATCCGAACTTACAAAACGTTCGGATTTTACAATGAAATAAAATAAAGAAATTGAAGTCCTCGAGAAGCTCGAACGGATTGAAATGGAAGTAGGAACACGAACGGATAGGTGCCTTGATCGGCGAGTAGAGACGACGGACGGAGGGTAGGGTGTCGCCGGAGCAGTTTCTTGAATAGAGGTAAGGAAAGCGGAGTCGCCAAAGCTTTCCTTAAGGTAGTATTGCCCGCCTCCCGCACTGGCAAACGTGGGCAATCTCCTCCCAGGATAAAATTGCTACGTGCAAGGCCTAGGGCGGTAGAACCGTGCACCGACGAACGAGAACAATGAGATGTTTCTGCCAGAGAAGACGATTGGAAACCAGGGGATAGTCGGAAAGCTATTCGTATTACAGAGAGGGTTTTCCAGTGTCTTTCTTAGCTGCAATGTGCTCCCTTTATATAGGGGCGAGCATGGACGAACAGACAGTCATGGAGGAGAAACCGAGGGGCCACGGAGAGACCCTTCAGTCGGTGTGCATGCATGCTATTCATTGCTCCATCACTTCGTTATTAACAAAGTGCTTACACGTGTTTGATTCGGTCTCGTAAAAAGCTAGCCCCGCCACGCCGCAGACCCACCCGTGGGCACGGCGCCCCCCGCCCCGCCCTGCCCAGCCACACCGCGCGCGTGTTGTGACGTGCTGAGCCGAATGGCGGCGGCGGCGCGCGAGGAAGTCCTTTCTTGTTCCTTTCATAAGCTCAATTAAATGCTTAAATTTAAATATGGGAATACGAAAGGTTCAAGATCCGGTGTGGGACAAGGGTTTTTACTCTTCAACGTGTTCGACTTTGTGAATTAATATCTCACTCACCCGAGCACCATTTTTGGCGTGTAATATGTCGAAACACTTATCTCACTTACGAGATTAAACGTCCATAATTATTTTGGAAATTAATTTTATGGACCCCACCGAATTTTTGTCCGAAAATGTCCAATTTTTCTTAAAAATTCCAACACATGTACTCCCTACCAACTCTAATTAAGTGGAATAGTTTCTTTTAGCACATTAGTGGCATAGTTTCTTTTAGAACGTTAGTGGCATAGTTAGGCATGAACTCATTATAAATTCACACATAAGTTCACATGGATCAGAGTTGCACTTTAAGAATGACCCGTTTTAGTTAATAGCACCAGAACCAAGTTCTAAAGGAAAAGTACTAATGCTTACATTTTTGTAGTAAATGTAACCCGTGACTTGGGTTGAAGTTTTGAAGGCCAATTTAATTTGCATGTTCAATAGTCACAAAATGAGGTGGGTTTTTCTCTGTGATGGTGCTTATTCACTTATTGCTTATAAGTACTTTTTAACTTATAAACTACTTATAAGTTTAAAAAAATCGTGTAGATAAAACAACTTAAATGATTTATAAATCATTTGGGAATATTCATAATGGGTGAAAGAAAGTTTCATTTTTGTGTGAAATTGAGTGCATTTTTGGTGAAATCTACTTGAAATTGTGTGAATATGAGTTGAAATTGATAAGAAATTGGGTAAAAATTGCATTAGTTTTTTGTGAAATTGATAGCATTTAAGGTGTAATTTTAGTTGAAATTGTGTTAGTTAATTTGACGTTTATTGAGAATTTAGGTAAAATTTAGTTGAATTTTGTGAAATTGAGTGCATTATAGGTTGATATTTGTAGTTAAATGATTGTTGTTTGTGGTTTAATAAGATTGTCGTTTGTTAGCCTTTATTCTTGCTATGGTTTGTTGGTAATGAATGTGGTTAATATTCTTGGTTTAATGATTGCTGTTTTTTGCCTTTCAATTACGAAGCGTTTCTAAAATGAGTCCTTTCGAAAATCGTGAGTTGATATATAAGAAATATGAGAGAGAAGGTGTTGTTAGTCAAGAATGGGTGGACAAGCTTCCTAAGTTGAGTTTGTAGAGTACAGTGAGTCAAGTCCCAATGTAGATAGGTTGGATAACAAGAAAATGCGACGTCCTTTCAAGAAATGTAAGAATATCAAGTTTTGCTCATCAAAGAATATGTTGGAGCACATTTTGTGATTTGGATTCACACCCAATTATTTCGATTGGGCATGTCACGGGGAGTATCATGGTGACTACGTACCTCCACAAGGATGTAAAGTCCCTCGTCAAGCTGATGCCTCAGATGTATCATGTAACGCCCTGAAAATAGGCCTATCAGAATTAATTAATTGATAATTAATTAATTACTACCCAAAAATAAGTAAATTCTAAAGTTTGTCAATAATTAATAAAAATTATATCGTTGTGTAGAGTTTGACTATCTGACCCCAACGGTTTAATCGGATTTCAATTCGGAGAAAGTTGGAACAAAAAGTGTTCTCCGACTAGGACGAATTTAGTCCCAATCAGGGACTTGCGTCTGGAATCCTAGCAATCGCCGCTCCCTCCACCGAGACGCCAGAACATGGAAAAGGATGTCACTACACCTGTGTCTTCTTCCCCTCCTCTCCACTATATAAACCTCTCTAAACTTCACCATTTTTCACCATTCTTCTTCCAAGAGATAGCTGAGAGTATAGAGAGTAAAGTATTGCTGTCAAGAAAGCTTGCTATCGCCGGAGCAGTGAGATAGAGTCGCTGGAAGTTTCGCCGGAAAATCGTCAAAACCTTCCTTACGCTTCAAGGTAAGCCCGTTGATATATCTAATGACTAGAATGTTCGTATAGATCGTTTTTACGTTCATAAACGGTCGTTTGGTTGAGTTTTGTGTTTGACATGCTTGAAGAACCAAGAATCATAAACCTTGAATTTGATGTTAAAACTATGAATTAATGATACCAAAATGACCTATGAACCTTGGAGAACATTTCTATACAGTTAATTGAAGTTTGGGGAACTAAAAATGAAATTTCCTAAACCAGACCCGAGGAGGAAGACGATGAACAGTGCACGTTAGACCCCTACCGCCGGTACGGTAGATAGGTACCGTCCAAACGGTACCCACCTACCGCCGGAACGGTAGGATACTACCGTCGCCATCCGAGCTTCCTGGCGGTACCTGCCAACCGACAGTGCCCCCTACCGCCGGCACGGTACCGAGGTACCGTGAGTCAGTACCGAGGTACCGTGAAGGGTACCGTCTGATCCGATTATTTTCTAGAAAATGTCGATTTTTGAACCACAAACTCCTATTTTTAATACCAATTGATTATGATTATTATAAAAATGATTTTTCACAATAAAAATGATGTTTTTAACAAATTAAAACATTATGTGATGCATGACGGTAAGTCCGGGTGTTTACGCTCGAGATTAGGCCGCTAATTGTTATTAAACATGTGTTAATGATCTTTATGATAAATAATTATTATGGATGATTATGAATAATAAACCTACTGATTAGGATTATTATTAATGATTAAATCATTATTAATATTGAATATAATGATGATCACGAAATTGGTGTGTTGTTAAGGCTATCTCGAAGACCTCTAAGATAGACCTCAAATTAGATTGGGCCTTGTGGGTATTAATATATATATATTCGGTGGCCTTGGGTAAAAACATACGTACGGGATCCGTAAACCAAACTAGAGGAACTCGTTTGGGGATACCACCCAACCCGACAGTTAGTATTTTACTGTTCGGTTTCCTGGATTTGTACCTTAAGCGAAGGCTAGTTTAAGAGTTGGTAAATCAATCGGAATATGTACCTTAAACTAATGACCTATCTTAAGAGTTGGTTAGAAGTACCTTGAACTAGAAATAGTTTAAGAGTTGGTAAGCATCAAAGATTAGCCTTAGACTAAGCTTAGTTAAGGATAATGTTGAATATTGAAATATTGAAAATATCATGAATGAATTATATATATTGTGTGCATGATATCAAATGGTTGTTTGTGAATTGAGATTCAATTTATGTGGATGTTCGACGCTTTAGATATGCTTACCCAGCTTCATCGCTGAGCGTGTAGTATGTTTTATTTGCTACACGCAGGTAGACAGAATGAATGATTGGCATGTTCCTGGCAGCGGAAGAGGCGAGATTGTCGTGGTGAAATTTGTGATTTTAAAATAAATAATTGTGTTGTTATTAAACATAGTTTAAATTGCTTCCGCATTATTGTTAAACATTCCGTATTTTGCTACAATTATGTATTAAACAACATTTATGATGAATAAAAGTATTTGAAATGTTTTAAATTTTACGATTACCAAGTTAATACTTTAGTCCGGAAGGGGCTGCAGACCTGGACGGATTAGGGTGTTACATATCACATGTACCGGGTAGAGAACAGTTTGTACACATGGTTTATGATGCTATCGGCCCGACTAGGATCAACTATGTTCTTGAAGAAGAGCCGAATTCGAAAGACAAGCAATTCTTTGAAATGTTGAAAGCTGCTGATACAGATCTTTGGTCGGGGAGTTCTAAGACGTCTTAATTGTCTGCAGTTGCATGCTTGTTGAATATTAAGTGAGAGCATAATCTATCTGAGCGTTGTTACGACACCATATGTCAATACATCAAAGACATTCTTCCGGAGGACAACTCAATGGTGAATGGCTTTTATGAAACTAAAAAGATGATTGAAGGTTTGGGTCTTCCGGTCCAAAAGATTCATTATTGTGTTCTTGGATTCATGTTATATTGGAGAGGCGATGAAAGTCTTACCGAGTGCAAGGTGTGTTGAAACACGGGTTTATCACGTTTTCGTACTAAAGCCATGTTCGTTTTTATGACAGGTTTTGATAATGCCAAATCGCCGTGAACGAGACAAAGTGTTGAATATACAAGGCGAGAAATGAAGATGAGAACAAGAGCTAAAAGAGACCAAGAACGAAGACCGTAGTTTTAGTATCGTTGAGTCGGTCACAAATGTGATCAAGACCGTCCGAAGCCTTACACTTTGGCTCTTTAGGATAAAACCTTTTATTGCATTTCTCATATCATAAAAATGATTTTCAAGCATGTTCAAACACATTAAAAACACTTTGTGTTTGACCAAACCAAAAATCAAGCCATCCAGCGTTCGGCTTTCAGAAACCGGCATTAGGTTTTCAGAAACCGGCGTTCGGCATTCGGTTATCGGCGTTGGTTTTTGGCGTCCAAACCAACCAAGTGGTTTTCAACTTTTTATGATTGGTTTTTACTTTTGGGCACATTTAAATAGTTTTCCATAAAAAACACTTCAAAAACCACCTTTCGTTTTTTGTCGTTTGATAAAAACCATGCGAAACGGCATAAACTTGGCTAGCCGTGGTTTTCACTTAAATGAAGTGGTTTTCGAGTCTTTTTGTGTGGTAATTGTTTTTGAATGCATTTAAATGGTTCTCCAATCAAAACATCATGAAAACCACCTTTCAGTTTTGTCTTTTGGTAAAAACCACCTGTGTACGGCGTTGACTTGGTCAACCGTGGTTTTTACCTTAACGACGTGGTTTTCAACTTACAAAGCTTGTTTTGACATCACAATACATTATATAAGTGTTTTAAATACTTAGTTTTTACTTTGGAGAACTTTGCATTTTTTGGTTGGGTTTTAGCGCCAGTCAGCTAGGCCATGGTTCTGGGCTAGCCATCTACCCAGCGATGGTAGATATCACCCATCCATGGGTAAGTGATCCCGGGATTCTAGAATCATGCCACCCAGCGATGGGAGATTTTACCCAGCGATGGGTAAGCAGCCTTTAGCCCAATTGATTTCCAGAACCATGCCAAACAGCGATGGGAAGTTCTACCCATCGCTGTTCAAGCCTTGGTCCAACATTATCACACGGCAGAATGCCCTTACCCAGCGATGGGAACCTTTACCCATTGATGGGAACCCAGCGATGGGAGGGCATACCCATCGCTGGTTAGGCATGACCATTGTGAGTCATTTAAGGATGATTCTTTCCTTGTTTGAAAGTCAACCTCCCACCCAGCGATGGGAAGCATTTACCCATCGATGGGTAGGTTACCGTTGGCTTCAAAACTGAAGGAAAATTGGCTTACCAGCGATGGGTAAGTCCATACATCGCTGGGAAAGCCAATATCTTGCAGATCCACATTTTAATGAATCCCATAAATCAAGCCAATCATCTCTTTAATGCCTTGGTCCGTTGGAGCCTATTTTGGCACTATAAAAGGGGTGTTTGGGTCTGCTTTACCAACAAATTCACTTCACATTACACATATCAAACGCTATTCACCCCCCTCTAGCGTTGGTCACTTATTCTAACAAGGTGTGTCAAAAGCCACGCTATAAATACGAGACGTCTAAGATTCCGCACAGACTGATGTTCTACTTTCCGCTTACACTGAGGTTGAAACGCTTGTATATGTCCAGCCGTACGGCGGGGGCAATGAGGTGGCATGCCACACATCGACACACAAACCAAGATGAAATGTGTCACCCTTGCGATTTTGAAGCATGGAAAAGATTTGAAGTAGACCATCCTTCATTCGCTTCAGAAATGCGCAACGTGTGCCTTGGACTATGCACGGACGGGTTCCAGCCCTTTGGCCAGTCAGGGTCCCAATATTCATGTTGGCCCGTAATGATTACCCCTTATAATCTCCCCTGACATGTGCATGAAAGAAGAACATATTTTCTTGTCCTTAATTGTTCTTTGGAGGTCTAATCTGAAGCAGAAGATTGACGTCTATTTGCAGCCATTGATTGAAGAGCTAAAGACCCTTTGGAGTGAAGGTGTTGAGACCTATGATGTGTCACTCAAGCAAAACTTCAAAATGCGTGCTTCCCTCATGTGGACAATCGGTGATCTCCCTTCATACACAATGATGTCGGGGTGGAGCACGGTCGGGAAGATAACGTGCCCCATTTGTATGGATCAAGTTTAATTGTTTCGACTACCTAATGGAGGAAAGCAGTCGTGGTTTTACACTCGTCGACATTTTATTCCCTTGGATCATCCTTATAGAAAAAAAATAAGAAGAAGTTTATCAAAAATACGGTTGAGACGAGAGCGCCACCCATTAGAAAAAATGGTCAAGAGACACTACGTAAAATTGTAGGTTTGGGCATGCGGAGGATCGTGGATGAAAATGGTGATGCCATTAACTCAGAGATTGTGAAGGATACTTCTTGTGGATGGAGGAAGAAGAGTATTTTTTGGGATTTGCCTTATTGGGAGACAAATATGATTCGTGTTAGAATAAAGGCCCAACGCTAGAGGGGGGTGTTAGAATAAGTGACCAACGCTAGAGGGGGGTGAATAGCGTTTGATCGTAGAAATCGCAAGAATAAAAAATTAAGAACGTGAAAAGTAAAGAGCGTAGAAAGCGTAAAGGGAGCACACCAAGATTTATACTGGTTCACCACAACGTGTGGCTAATCCAGTCTCCCGAGAGACTCTCTCGAGCTACACTACTTCCGTTAAGCTTACGGGTGCTTAACAAACCGTTACAACCTGAGAACTCCAGTCCCACGAGCCTCAACAACCTTGCTCGGAGATACCGCACTCCAAGACTTCAACCCGAAGGAAAATACCTTTCCTTCGTACAACCAAGGGAAACAAGCTTCCCTTAACGTGTATACAACACTAAGACACTCAAGAACAAGACTCTCCTTAAGAGTGGATATGAGTAAAATATATACGCTTAAGAACAACTCAAACTTCACACAAATTGGCTCTAGAAAGCTATGGAAAATAATGTGATTTGGATGCAATGATAATATGAATATTGTGAAGTGAATTGATGAGAAAAGCAGACCCAAACACCCCT